TATCTTTAAGAATTTAATTAAAATACAATTGAAGTAAAAAATTTACATTATTTTCTTGAATTTTATCATTTAACAAAATCGAATGAGATCAAATGATTTGTGTATCAATTTTACGTAATAAAATTAGATAATATTTAGTCATATTTCCACTAATACTCTTTTATTGAATAAAATTGAGAAATATTAGTGATATTTTTTTTATTATTAGTTGAAAATCATAAATTTTAATAAATTTTATTATTGAATTATGAAAGACTTATTAATGAGATGCAACGTCTATATTATTTTTTAATAAATTTCAAAGAGTTTAATGATGATGTATTGATAACGTAAAATAATTTTACACAAAAATTTTATCTCAATCCATAAAATAATAATATAAATTATAACTAATTAGTTGACCTTCTAAAAAAATTTATACTAACCTTGCATGTTCATTATGTTTACAATAAAATAAATATTAGATAAAGTGTTATTAACATTTCTTAATAAAATTTTATTGTTGTTGTCATCTTAGTATAAGAAAATTAAAGTCATCTTTAATTTAACTTCTTGTATATTAGTTTATCTTTTATAGTATTAACAATTTTCTTTTCAAAAACATTATTAACTGTTTAAAAATAATTATGTTTAATAATTATTACAAGAACTATTGTATTATATTGGTTTAATTAACTTTTTCATCTCTATGAAATAAAAATTTTCACTTTTTTTTTCAATTTTGTTCCCGTAAATTTTTAAATTTCATTTTTGTCTTTTATTATAAAATTAAACATCAAATATAATGGAATATATATATATATATTATAGGTTCAGATGTTCAGAGGGCCAACACAAAAAACAACTAAATATTTAGATGATCAAAATAAAAATCACTAAAATTAAGAGGAACAAAATAAAAACAATCTCATTTGTTATATCTTCTTCAAAACTTGGAGGTGATTGCATCATTACATAAATGTAAAAAAATTTATGTTTAAGATTTATTTATTTTTTTGTTCTTTTTTCTTCTTCAAATTTTAAATATTTTTATTTAGTCCTTATAATTTACTTATTTTACTACCTTATATTAAATGATCAATCCAACAATAATAATAAAAATGAAATAAAAACCCCTTTTACAAAGACAAAATTGCAAAAAAGAAACTAAAAAAGTTATTTAAACACATTGTACATAATAATTTATACAACAAAATATCTTGAGAGTCAATTACCAAAGTATTGAAATACTGTCTATTCAACAAAAATTACTACAAATTAGTCATTAATTATCTATTTTATAATATTGTGACAATAATAAATTATATTGGTAAAAAAATATAATAATCTATAATTAGATACCATTATAAAAAAAAAATCTAAATATAACTCATAAGTTTTGATTAAATTCTTTTAGACCACAACAAAGATATGATTAAAGAAAAATTGAGGTAATTAATAGTAAGTTTAAATAGTGTTGCCTTCGAAATCTTTCTTCAAGTTAAAAACAAAACACAACAAAGATTGATTGAACATATATCTTTAAACGACCACCTTACGAAAATAAAATTAAAAACAAACATGATATACAAGTATTATATTTTAATCTTTATACGTAGTTATCTCTAATAATTTAATCACCCCAAACGTAAGAACACCACCAATAACCCAAGTCGTAACCGTTTATCTCTGTTCAAACCAAAATGGTTTTTCTCCCTTCATACAAAAACCATTCATCTAAATCATAAAAAAATAAAATATTTACACCGAAAAAAAAACATAGTTTCATCCAAAAATACACAAAACACTAATCATCATCATCTTCATCTTCATCTTCATCATCCTCTTCCTCATCATGTTCTTTCAGATCGGAGAGGCTCCTACACTTGAAACTTCCCAACAATCTGTGTCTCATGTGAGAAACACAGGAGTGAGGCAGAGTTAAAGTTTGGTTTTTTTCTTGTTTATTGTCCTCCGATGAAGATGAAGAAGAAGAAGAGGGTGAAACTTTTTTGCGATTCTCTTCTTCTTGGTAGTAGTCTTCATCTTCATGAAGGGGTAAAAGGGGCATGGATTTTGGGTTGGAGGAGGCGTAAAAGGAGGATTTTCGTGACCACTTTGACGCTATTTGAACCCTTCTTCGTTTGTTGAAAGGGTTCTCTTGCTTTTGAAGTTCCTTAACTGTGTTCACTTGAGACAGATCCGTGAATGACTTCGATTTTCCCATGAAATGGTTCGACAACCCTCTCCTAAAACAAACCAAAAAAAAAAAAAAAAAACCCATTTGAAAAACAAAGTCAAAACATGGGATTGAACAAAATTACGATGAAGGATCTGAAAATTGGAAAAAGGGGTCGAATAAAAAAACGAACTTGATGGGGAGAGAGTCTTCTAGCGAATCGAGAGAGGCCAAACCCTGCAAGTTGTGGTGAACCTGTTCTTGTTGTTGTTGTTGTTGGTTTTTGAAGGAAACGGCGTCGTTTTCGTCGTCGGTGTCGTCGGGGGTTCCGATGGAGGAGGAGGCGTCGGAGGAGGAGGAGGAGAGGGCGGCGTGGTAGGGTGGCGCGTGGAGGGTGAAGGTGGGGCCCACGAGGGCATCCATTTGGAGACGCGGAAACTCGTTCACGCGAGGGTTTGGGATATGAATGGGAATTAAATTTACGAAGGAGTGGCAGAAGAGAGTTGAAGGAAGACAGAGGGGGGTTATATATATAAATAAGAACTGCAGAGAGAGAAACACACAATGAAAAAAAAAACAGAGAGAGAGAAAAGAGATAATGTTCTTCGCTGGGGAAGAAAATACCATAAAAGAACCGTTTCAAATTTTCAATATTGCTTCGTTAAGACATGGCTAGGAGCCTAGGTCAATTGGAAAAAAAATATTTATTTATTTATAGATTTAAATATATTTTTATTCTCTCAAATTTAAGATAAATTTATTTTTGGTCTCTCAAATTTAAAGTTGTTATTTTTAGTCCCTATAATTTTTAAAAATCTTATTTTAGTCTCTTAAGTCACCAATAACATATTTAAAAGTGACTAATTACGACAGTTATGTAATATCAACTGGATTTAATGTGATATTTTCACTAATAAAGACACCAATAGGTAGATTTTATGCAATAATGTTTGATAAATTTCTTAACAAAATTTGAATATAAGGACTAAAAGAATATTTTTTGAAATTATAGGGACTAAAAACAATAATTTTATATTTAAGGGACCAAAAACAGATTTATCTTAAATTTGAGGGACTAAAAACATATTTAAGCCTTATTTATATATAACAAGGGATCAATGAAATTATTTATTTATAATTATTTATATATATATAATTTAATTTAGAAAAATATATTTTTCATCTCCATCTTTTATTCTTTTAATGCATATTTTTGTTAACTGATAGAAAAGTGATTAATCTCTATAAAAATAAAAAAAAACGTTCATAAAGTGATATTTTGCTTTCAATATAATTTATTTTTATTAATAATATGTAAATATAAATTTTAAGTTTTTTTTATTAAATCATGTAATATGATTATTGTATGTGTAAATTGATTCAAAGTTTAGTGGATGCTAGAGAGAGAAGAGTATATAAGGCTTTCTCTGAGAAGAAAGTCTCATAAGCTCATTCTCAAAGAAATCTAGAGAAAAGTTTTAGAAAAAATGACTTTGGGTCTGTGAGTTCTTTTTTCTCCTAAATTTCTCTGTTTGATTCTTCTTCTCTAGATCACTAATTCTTCTATCTTTTCTTGGAATTCAGGCTAGGAAGCTAGTTTTCGGAGGATTGAGGTCAACGGGTTGAGCTTCGGGAGAATTCTTCTTCTTATTTCCTTGGTTGTTCTAAGCCAATCTTCAGGTGAGGGAAGGTAGAATGTAGGTGTTGGTTGCATGTGAGTTTAGGAACTCAATTGGTGCATGAATTTTCAGAATAAATGGTTGAATTGGAGGATTCCTCATTTTTGGGGTTTTGGGAAAAATTGGGGTTTTTAGTGATTTTGATGCATATGGTAGATGCATGATGAATTTGAGTTTGTTTTCGAGTTGTATAGAGCCTATGTGTTATGTTTCATGGATTGCATGTGGCTGGATTTGTTGATTTTCAGATTTTGGATGGAATTTTCAAAGTTTTAGGAGGTTGTTGTTTGAATTTGCGTCAGGCGCATGTTCTTGGCGTTTGGCATGCATTCATCAGAGGCAACCATTTCCTAATCATGTCGGGCGTGAAGGTAGTCGCGCCGGGTGCAATTTGAGATAGTAGCCTCTAGATGAGTCACCCTGGGCGTGAGGAGAGCCACGTCAGGCGCGATATCAGATAGTGGCTTGGTGTGGTATTTTACTAATACGGCACCGGGCGCAGGGTGGGTGCGCCGGGCATGGAAACTCTTGTGAGTCTTTGTTTAAAATAGGCCGAGCACGAGCTGAATACGCTGGGTGTGGATGAGTCTTAGAGCTCTAGGTTGGGTTTAAGTCGGGCGCGAGCTGACTATGCTGGGTGTGGATGAGTCTTAGAGCTCTCAGGTTGGATTTAGGTCGAGCGTGAGCTGACTGCACCGAGCGTAAGTAAGCTTAGTGATGTTGATTGAAATTGATGCTTTTGCATGTTTAAGGTTGAAATTGGATCATGTATGTATGATATATGATGTATGGTGATGTATGATTTATATGAATCATTGGTAATGATGTATATGAATGTTTAAATATGATATGACATGTGTATATGTTCATATGAGGATGATATTGATCATGCTGGTGGATTGACCATGAATGATGTATGATGCATTGTTGCATGTGATGCCTTATGGCATGTGTCTAGCCTAGGACTTGAGGAGAGGGAAATTGTTTTCGAACTAGAAGAGCTCACATAGAGTCTCTTGAGAGTGGTGCTTGGATAGGCCACTGATCCAGATGATAGTTGTGCTTGGATAGGCCATTGGTTTTGGGTGAGAATGGTGCTTGGATAGGCCACTGGTTTGGGTGAGTCTCCTCTAAGTCCTTAGTTAGTGTTGGAGCGGGGTATGAGGTCGAGGGTTATTCCCGTAACCAAGTACTGGGAAAGGTGTGTGGTTCCTTGCGGATTGTGGGTGGGCAAACTCCACAAGTGACTTGGTAATGCATGCCAAGGTCGTGGTAAGCTTGTACCCAGTTGTGCTATACCTGACGGTGGAACCGGACTTCCAAGTGTGTAAGTGACATCATCCGAGTAAACCCGAGTGGGGATTTATATCCCGGTTAGTTGTGACCAAGCGGGCGCATTGGGCGTGAAAATGGTTGGGGTGGTTTCGGTAGGATGGGATGTCACTTATACTACTCTGTTATTAGGGAGATCTCCTAGAAGAATGCGTGACGACGCATTAGATGATTGATATGCATTGATATTTGTCATGAGTTGCATTTATTGCATGATTACTAATATGTTGAAGTTACGGTGTTTGACTTCATGATTGATATGTTGATGATTGATTGAGATGGAAGTCCCTTGGGACCTGATTTGATAATTGTGTAGTATAGATTACTATTCTATACTTGTATGGTTGTTAATTGAACTCTAGCTTACCCTTCTGTTTCAATGTGGATGGACTGCGATGATTATACTATGTATGGGAGCAGGTCAAGGTTAGGTTGGAGCTGATTGTTGTGACCGCTGCGAGACGTGGAGTTTTGTCTTCATGTTAGAGTTACCATTTTGGGTAACTGTTTTGTCTGTGTTTGACCGGCACTAGGGCAGTATTATTTTGGATGACTATATATACATAATACAATATTTCGTATACAAATATTTAATTTCTTTTATCACTTCCTTTGTGTGTATATTTTATTATCCAGCTTAATATTTTGTCTTAGATGATTAGTATAGTTTCCATGATTCCTTTAAGTGTAGAGATTATGACGGGTCGTTACAGTATGTATTTTAAACTTCTTTAATTAATGCAGTTGAATATCAAAAGCAATAAAAAAAATTTCCTCATTTCAAAAATAATTTATTTAAGTGAGACAATAATAAACACTAAATTCTAATATATAAAAATTTAATAACTCGTTAATAATTATTTTTAGACACTAATTATCCAGCAAAAAAAGTCAATAATGATTACATATAAACAAATAGAGAAAATTATATTACCCTCTTTTGAGAGATAAAATTATTACACTATCTCTACTTATTATGTTAAAACATATAATTTAATTTATTTAACTTAATCTTGTTAATGTAAATTATGTTTCCCTCTTTTGAGAGATGCAAATATTATATAATCTTCCCTTGATATATTAAAATATAGAATAAATTACATTTTTATCTCTTAAATATATGAGTATTGTAATTTGTAGTATTGGTCTATTATTATATTAAAATAAATAATTTAGAATATTTATCGTAATATCTTAAGAAGTATTCCTTATAAAATTTTATAATATACTTTTGATACATGTTGAAATAATTTGAGTTACTATATATATATATATATATATATATATATATATATATATATGTTAAGATCATGTTCGTATATAAGAATTTCATGACTTTAGACTTTAGGCAAAAATTAAGACAGGGACCTATGTTAATATAGCCTAATAATTTTTATGTTATTTTTCTGGTTTTTTGAGCTGCAAAATTATTTATTAAAGTTTTATAATCAAGTAATTCTAACATCTTACTCTCAATAGATAATATAGCTAACCCATTCAATCTATCTTGTAGCATAGTTGATCTTAAATATGATTTAATCAATTTTAATTTTGAAAAACTTCTTTCAGCAATCGCAACACAGGTAATGTTAATAATATTCTATATGAATGTATGTATTTGGAAAAGAACATGATCTTTTTATATAGTTCAATATTTTTAATGGTGTGTTAATTTCATTTGTTAGAATTTCTTTCAATAACTTTAATTCTGAAAACAAATCAAGCCCATCAATATCAGAATGGTCCTCAAAACTCAAAATCTTTTCAAGATTGATACAATATTTTTTCAATTCATCTTCTCCTAAAGTTTTAAATTTATTTGAATCAAATAAAAAACCAAACATGTTTTCATATTCTAAAAATTGTTCAAATCGACTCTCAATATATAGAAGAAATAGATTGATCTACTATATACAAAAAATAATCAATGCGAAAAGAATCTTCAGCAGAATAAGTTATCTCATCACTATCAATGTCATCAAAATGTTTTTTTTTCTATGAATCTTACGTTTTTCATTGAATTTAGGCTCTATATCCATTTCAATAGACATTTCTTTGGTGGATTCTAATGCAGATGCAAAACCATTTTTCTTGTAATTTTTAAATAAGTTATAAGGCCTCTTAAGTGATCTATAACAACATCTATATGCATATCTTTAGATTGCATAATCTTACTTATTGAATTAACCGCAAAAAGTATATCATATCAAATATTCATTCCCAATAAAAATTCAAAATTCATCATCTCATAAGTCGCTAAACACGTGGCTTCACTCTTTATCTTAGGATCTTCACTAGTTTTCGATAACTGAACAAGTGCATCCCTTATTTTTGGTGCTTGAAACTTTTTGGCTTTATCACTTTCAATTCTACATTCCCATCTTGTTTGAGATAGTGATTTAACTGAAAACTTAAATACATTTTCTTGTAAGATTTTCCACCGTTTGGTAGAAGAAGCAAACAAAGAACAAATACGTTGCAAAACTCCAAAAAAAGAAACAACTCTAGTATATGAATTTGCCATATCACCTAGAACTAAATTCAAATTATGACAACCGCAAGGAGTATAATATGCTCTAGGGTTCATGTCTAGCAATCTCTTTTGTACT